GTCGATATTTCGAGAAAATTTTTTTTTTATTTTTCCGAGATTTTTCCAAGGGGTAAATATTTAACGACAAGAAAAGTATCTTTGGACCATTCCGGTTTTTGTACGTAGTAAGCTTGAGTAAATCGTGCTTGGAGTTCTACCTACGCTATTGTCTCTGGCGGCAAACCGCCCAGTTCGCTTGATTCCTGCTCGGTACGGAATGCCTACGATCTGAAGAGGTAGAAATTAGAGAAACTATATCTTAAGGGGTACCGTAAAAAGAATGTTAACTCTCATGCTCCTACAATGATTGAAAGACTAAAGCCGTTAATATGCCGGTCAGTCAACATCTTTATTCATTTATTATAATTCATTAGTTTAAGCTTTCGACGATTTTCCTCGACTTTTACCTTTAACATATTGAACGACAGACCTTATTTCTTGTTATCGTCATTCAGTCCAAATAATTGACATCAATACAATTTCACACGATTGTATTCAACAAATTTCGGACGACGCGACGACATTTGTGGATACGCGTATTCTTACATTCTCTTAAAGATTCTTCTCTGAGGGTGGCTGTTACGTTGCAAATTAAGCTATTCGCTTAATTCACGTATTTCAACTTTTGCTTAATAACGGGAAAAGGAATATTTAGGAAGGTAGGCTTTATATAGAGGTAAAAAATAATAAATAAAAATCATGGCTTTTGGGTAAACTCCGAGGAAAAAGACCTTGCGGCCAAAACTTCGAAAAAGAACTGTGAATGTTTATTATTCAACAAATTAAAAAATATGTTCAAACGGATCATTGTCAGGGCTGGGATAATTTTTCCCTCGACCGGAAAGTGGGGACGACGCGACCATAGTGGGGTCTGGTACTTGATGGCGGTATGCTAGGCATAGTCAGCGAAGGCGCATGAGGGGAATAGTAGTGGGGATCGAAATACGGGCGAAAAGCAGGGGAAGCGAGCCGTGCGGGAAAAATTATCCCAGCCATGATCATTGTATATGAGGAACGAGTCGCTCGGGGTGACAGCATTGCACGAGAGTCGGGAAACGTAATTTTCTGATGGTAGATTCGACATTTGTGTTAGCAAGAGAGGTTTTGAGGAACCCCCTCCTCCGATCGCTCTTGTAATTGGCAAGAGAGGTTTGGATGAACCCCCTTCTCTGATCGCGAATGCGATGCGTTTGCACTGGTGTAAAGATGAAACGAGTATGCATTCGAAGTTAAACGCGACGTACGACCGTTTCACCATGACAATCACTCACTACGTGCTTTCGGTAAACTATAAATTACTGTCTACCGCGATCACGCACCACGTTAGTTCGATTTCCAATTCCATCGGAGCTCCGGAGAGCGAGATGTTACCCCGTGCGCTCTCGATCTCGAACTAACTAAAAGAATCTCACCATTGTGAAATAATGAAGAAGTCGAACGACTCTAAACCGAACGTGTCCCTTGGTAAGGGCCATAAATCTTTTTGGTCTCTCGAGATATACTCAGTTTCGAACGGCTCGACCGAAACTCGAGGGTGCGTAACGTGGTGCGTGTGACCTGTATAACCAGCGTTACCTAAACATACTCCCCCCCCCCGTTGCGGGAGGTCTAAACAGTGGCTGACGTAGGCGGCTTAAGTAGATTCATCGTAAAATGGAGGAAATAACGAAAATGAATACATTAACCTTAGCTTTGAAACTGATAGCAATTGTATTCTAAACATTCGACTCGATAAAGCAATTTCATTAATACTCTTTGTGCTAAACCAAATCAAATGCGAATATATTTTCTTTATTAATCAGCACGTGTAGAAGGTAACAAAAAAAGAATCACGCATTTCCTTAACCGCAAATCCGAGTGCCATACAGGAAGCATAATTCAGAAATTCGACGAACGACAGGAAAAAGCACAAGCGTTAGTTATCGCAGAGAAAGAAGTGACATTCTAAAAATGAATGTGACGAGCAATTGAAAAACGAGCGATGGCCAGATACGAAATTACTACGCTGGGAAATACGTACTCCTCACGGGGTGCACAGGTTTCTACGGCAGCCTCATCTTGAAGAAGCTCCTGAGGACGTGCACCGAAATTGGCAACGTTTACATTATGACAAGAGAGAAAAAAGGTTTCTCTGTGCAAGAAAGAATGGACAGGTTCTTCAAGAATGAAGTGAGTAAATTGTACTCGTAATAGTTCTCGTGAAAACGAAATTAGGAAATGATAAAATCAACAAATATTTTGTCACCCCAAGTATTTGATATTGCGTAAAATCGTTCTAGAACATCTGAATTATTCGAAGCTCCGATAGCAGAATGGTTCGTTTGCAAGTTCCAAATTGATACATGCAAATTCAAACGTATACTCTACAACAGTTTTTGACTTGTTTTTACTCACTTGCTGTCTTAAATTGTACGGGCTATAATACTAAGGGCTAATTTTACAGACTAAAATTCAGCAAGAATCCATCAAGGAACGATGACTGACCATATCAAATCAATTGAGAAGTATCCGTCATCAAAGATTGTCTGGTATCCATTCGTGATCTATGTTGGGAATTTTTACGTCTTCTTAGTTCTTCACGTACTGTTCCACGTGTTCCCTGCAATCGCTGCTGATGTGGTCCTAATGATCCAGCGGAAGAAACCAACGTACGTTCATTAACAGTTACGGAAGCTCGATTCAGTTAAATATTTTGATTCATCAGCTATTATCCGTATTTATATATATGTACAACTATTACTTATTTCTTCGTTCAGGGCGTTGAAGATAGCATCCAAGGCAACCGTGCAGTTTCGTGCGTTGTATTACTTCATCAGTACATCTTGGGTTATAAAAGCAGATAAGCTGAAGAGTGTTTTGAATCGTATGGATGCTACCGATCTAGAGGAATTTTCATTTGATATGACACTTATAGACTGGAATTATCTGTCTGTAACAATTGCCCTGAACGCTCGTAAACGACCCGATCGAAACGCTTCCCGAAGCAAGGAGGAGATTCCGAAAACTTAAAATACTTCACTACACCATAAGTACTTTACTATGTTGTAACAGGACGTGGAGTAACTCAACGTTCAGGTAGATTCGACTCCTCGG